GGTCCCTAAAAGTGATAGCTACCCCTAGAGTTACTGCCTCTGCCCTGCCTCTCACCTTTCAAAATACTTTTAGCCTCTGGTCTGAAGCATGGCTGCCTAGGCTTGTAATGTTGTTCACACTGCCTAACTTCACACCTAGAAGTATAGTGAGTTCCTACATTTGCTGGGCTCCTTGTAATGCAAAGTCTGAACACAACAAACAAACAAATGAGAAATTCCCTGTGGAGTTCACTGAGTGGCAAAGACTTTAAGAACCAGAGGCCTTTCCTCCTGTTCAGCACAGTGTGAGGTTCTGGTCTCCACAACAAAGCTAGCCAATTTCCCTGTCTCTAAGCCTATTTATACTTCTAGCCTTCCTTGTTTTAAGTGTACAGAAATTACTCTCTGGAAGTCGACATTTTTGTGCTGTCCCTTTTATGTGTCGTCCCTCGGCCTGCTTCCCTTCCACTCTGGCATGCTCTTTCCAGCCACTGAGCTTAATGCTTCTCCCCTGGACCACCCTAGCAGCCTCAGCTGTGGGTGTCCTTCCCTCTAGTTTGGTTTCTTCTTTCTCTGTCTGCTGCCAAGAACCCCTCCAGCAGCCAAGGCAGCCCTTGTTCCTGCATGTATTACCTGGGGCAATATTGAAGAATAAATAAGGCCAATCCATTCCATTTCTCTGAATTCCTGTATGTGTTCCTAGATCAGAGCTCTGTGGAAAGAGAGTCTGTGAGGGTAGAGAAACCTATTTTGATATCTCTTGAAGGTAGCAGATTCTTACAGTCTCATTCAAACCGTAAAAGGAACCTTGGGTAAGATTTTTAATCTGCTACCCTCCTCTTAAATACATGTACTGTCTTCCTGTTAGGATCTTGTCCTAGCCCTATGTTCAAACAGAAAGTTTGCTCCAAGAAAAAGGGGAGACACAGAGTTCTCCCACCTTATGTAATCAAAGGACAGGCACCTCCCACCTGGATGGGTGGCTCAGCTCCAGCAGAGATCCACACTCCCAGGTTTTCCTGGGCTGGAGGGCTGGGTGGGGGTGGGGGTTGCATCAGGGAAGCAGTGGAGGGCAATGCCTTCTAAGGCCTCTGCTTTTTTTGGTACTTCTAAGTTCTAGGCTCTGACTTCTCAACATTTAGAAAAACTGACCCTCAAAAGTAAAGATCAGGTGTTTTAGAGCTGGATATAGAGCATGTGTTCTTGTTGGAATGGTTTCTTGTTTGTTCACCCCAGAGGGCTGAATGTAGAGGCAGTAAACCACTTACCTGTGTAAGAGCAAAAGGGCTATGAGCACAGCGATCTCTTATCCTCCCTCAGAGTCACCTACTTTTTCAAGTTGTAATACACCAAGAGAATGTGATGAAGTGGACCTAATAGCTCATTATATGGAATAAAATTCATTTAGCTTCCTTAAACACAAGCAGAACTTTAACTGGGTACATATCAAAATTGTTTCCCTATTTTCCAAGCTAATTTGTATGCCTATTTCACTTCAGTTTGGTGGCCCATCTTAATCCAAGAGATGTGAGTCCCTTGATCTAAACGTCCAGTTCTGGTATTGGAGGATTCCAGTAAGGTCCTGCACTTGCAGTGCCAAACAGCCTGATTAAACACTAATAAATGTTTTTTCCAAAATGCAATAAACACAAATAGTCAAGTGCACGGCCTTTGGGGAATTCAGCAGTTCGGAAACCTATGTGCAGCACTTTACAAAGCTATTGAGCTAGGGGAAGATATGGTTGTATCTTGGCAAGGCAGTGGCTGGGTTTTCCTTTTTTGTTGGCTTCCTCGTTTTCATTTAATGTAATTTTTTTCTTTTTTCTCCCCTGGTAAAAAAAGAGAGGCAGGTGCTTCTAAATTTTGGTATTTCTCAGAAACCCTTAAATCCTTATTGCCTTTTGTGTGTGGAAAGGTTGATTTGTAGCTGCTGTCTTTCTCTTCCTAACAGACCTTGTGGGTGGTAAAGATCTCAGGGAGTGAAACATTAAAAATGAATGAGGAGAACTGGAGTAGTTTGTCTGAGGTGGGGGTGGAGAGGGACTGGGCTGGGGGAGGTTTAACAAAAGGCATTGATGTTTTAAATGCACAGAAATGCCATCCATCAATAATAAATGGTGTGGCATAGAACAGATGTGCCAAATTGAGTTATTACAGCATATGGATCAGTTCATAGAGGGGGGAAAGTAAGCAGCATCACTGGTGTTTTTAAACTGTCTGTTAGCTTTAGAATACAATTTTGAATATTCTGTTTTTATGCTCTGATTTTGATAGCTGCTGGTTGGAAATACAAAGCGTTTGGAATTTCCAAAAATTCTGATTGAATTTTGAATGCTTTTAAAAGTAAGAATTATTAAGAATGAATAAATTATTTCTCAGAAGAGGGAGACAGAATCTGAAAATGAATTTCTGGCCCTTCATGGCTGAGTGCTTGCTGTTTAAGAGCTAGTGTTGTATGAGGAATGAAATTACATTATAAAACTTAAGTCATATGAAATTGTTACCTAGACTTTTCTACATTTTACATCGATGATATCAAACTACAGAGGACCACTCAGGAAACCCTTCTCATGCTTTGAGATTGATTCATCACCCTCAGCATTTTGATTCAAGGGCTAATTCTGTGCATAGGCTCTGGGAGACTTATTTCACCCAAAAGAGAAACAAGAGAAATAGCCTCATTTTCTCATAAAGAAAATCATTCCCAAGAAATTGGACAGATAAAAATCTGTTGTTAGGTAAACTGGAATGTTTTGTGAATGTAGATACTTGTGTAGAGGTTAAGCTTTAAGTCGTACTTGATCTTCTTAGGGTATGCCACAGGCGTAGCAAAGGACAATGATTTGTGAGGGTTTGAAATGAGTCCTGGGCTGGAATTGGTGTGCTTAATGAAAACAACAGGCTTGGTAAGGCATGTGGAATGATTCCACTCATCTTAATATTGACCCTTGTTTCCCTTTTTGGAAACTTGTTTGGAATTGGATCTCTCTGCTTTGTTGCCCCAACAAAACTAATTCCTCTTTGTTTTCCTTAAGGTGAACAAAAAAGTACTTAATTCTTGCAAATAATGCCAAGTTGATTTATATGTGAGATTTGTTAGACTAGAAAGACAAATTACTTAGCTGTTGTAGAAGAGTTCAGAAGAGTTCATTGAATCTGTGAGTGTGAATGTTCTAGTTGAAAATGAAGATAGTGATTATATGAAAAGTCTGTTACTGTTATTTTTCCATCTGTATTAACTTTCAGCTTTCAGGTATAGAATTTACTCGAATTAATCTTTTCACTTCCTAGCTTACCTTAAAAAAAAAAAAAATGCTTGTCAAACTGTCTTCAGAGCCACCAAATAAATCTATTTTATAGTCCCATTAGATATCTAGCTCAAAATCCCATTCACTCTAGAAGGTCCTATGGTTGGATGCACAACAAATTTCCTGAAATCATCTCTGGTACACTTCCTTTGGGTTGTTAAGGTGTTGAAATATGAGAAGGCTGGTAGTGAAATTAAATTGTGGCTCAGGATAATTAGGAAGGGAGAAATCCAAGCATTTTCATAGTACATTGTCTGGATTTTAGTTGCAGCTGCAAACAACGGATATGAATTTAACCAGTTGCTACAGCGCAGCTGGTTCAGATCTGGCTTTATAACTGGCTGAAGTAAAATGAAATGGCTGGAAAATTCCAGTCAAGTAACACCAGTGGGAACATGTGGAATTAAATAGTGTGAGCAAATGCTGGCTGAGTTGAGGAAAAAACTTCAGACATAAACTTGAGGGGTGGTGGTGAGGACTTGTAGAGAGAGGGGTGGGGAGGGGGGGCCAGAGCATTTTCTGGCCTTTTTAACAAGGCTCTATTGTTTTGATTAGTTCCCTTGCAGGAGGTAGAAGGTTTCCTCCATCCAGAATAATTTGTAGAGTGTTTGGCCTGTCTACCTTCCTCCTTGACTGAAGTCACCTGATACTTTTTTTTTTTCCTTCAAGAAGAAAGAAAAATAAGCTGTTACCTCAGTTACTGACAATAACACAAATCTCAAAATGTAGACTTTTTTCCTTTGGGATAGTTTTCCCACCTTGTGACCCAGAAGGCCCTGTTTCTTCATAGTCCTCCTTCTTCCAACACCTGTACCAGAGATGTTGAGTGCGTTGGAGGCGAAAGGGCTCAAAGGTTCAGTTTTTAAATAATTGTTCTAATTAAGGAAGGAGAGTGGGTTCGCTAAAGGGAAGCTTTTGTATTATCAGTAGTTTTTTTCTGCATGAATTATCTGCTTAATTTGTAGACTTGAGAGTTGGCTGGGGGGAAAAATTTCTGAGAAGTTAAAGGGCCATGTGCTGTTTGGGGAAAACATTTGCTGTAACTAGGTTTAGGGTTTTTATTTTCTGCCAGTGCTTGGGAACTATATTTGCCAAGTGATTTCTCTGTCACAGGGATTAGCCAGTCATGTGAAACATTTGATTAACAGACTTAGAGAAATCTTTCTTCAGGCACATGATTGGTAGCTGCTGCTGGGATGGCCCCCTCCTGGATTCTGTGCTTCGTCCCTCAGTGTTTATAAGTAAGTTTGTAGTGATTAGTCATGGGATATGGTTTTACAGTCCAGTGAAGAAACTATTTAGGAATCAAAGTTCTGGTAGGTGTATTGTTAATTAAGCCTCTTAAAGTTTCTGCATAACTTAGGAATCTTTTTTTTTCCCCTGGAGCTATACTACTGCTCTGTTTTTGGAAAGAGACAAGATATAAATTATCAATAAAAATTGCCTATATCCCAACAGCAACACTGTTCGATTTTAACAAAATTTTTCCTGCTGCACATTCCCTGGATTTATGTTGAATTTTCATTCTAAATATGTAGGACTTTTTCATTTTCCCTCACCATTCATTTGTGAGACAGGAACAAAGGGGTTAAATATGGAGATTCTGTCTTCAGCCATTCAACTCCAGAATGGAGGGGAGCTTTTGCTACAGAGGGATGCACCATCCTGGTTGCTTCCCACTATGTTAACCTTTGTATGCATTTCTTCTCACAGATCACGATCATCTTCAAAGCCCACCGTGAGTGTACAGATCAGAAAGTATACCAAGCTGTGACAGATGACTTGCCAGCTGCCTTTGTGGATGGCAGCACCAGTGGTGGGGACGGTGACGCCAAGAGCCTGCGCATCGTGGAAAGGGAGAGTGGCCGCTACGTGGAGATGCACGCCCACTACATAGGAACCACGGTGTTTGTGCGGCAGCTGGGTCGCTACCTGACCCTTGCCGTCCGCATGCCGGAAGACCTGGCCATGTCCTATGAGGAAAGCCAGGACCTGCAGCTGTGCGTGAACGGCTGCCCCCTGAGCGAACGCATCGATGATGGGCAAGGCCAGGTGTCTGCCATCCTGGGCCACAGCCTGCCCCGCTCCTCCTCGGCACAGGCCTGGCCCGGCTACACACTGGAGACTGCCAATGCTCAATGCCACGAGAAGATGCCAGTGAAGGACATCTATTTCCAGTCCTGTGTCTTTGACCTGCTCACCACCGGGGATGTCAACTTCACTGCTGCAGCCCACAGCGCCTTGGGGGATGTGGAGGCACTGCACCCGAGGAAGGAACGCTGGCACATTTTCCCAAGCAGTGGTCACGGGACGCCCCAGGGAGGCAGCCGTTTGTCTGTCAGTCTAGGACTCACATGCTTGATCCTTATTGTGTTTTTGTAGGGGTTGTCTTTTGTTTTTTATTTTTTGTCTATAACAAAATTTAAAATATATATTGTCATAATATATTGAGTCAAAGAGTATATATGTATATACCATGTATATGATAGGATGTTTGTGCTGGGACACCCACCAGTTTGTACATATTGTGTTTGACTGTTTTCATGTATGTTGGATGTAGTGTTCTTTGATTGTATCAATTTTATTTTGCAGTTTTGTGAAATGTTTTATAATGTCCCTGCCTGGGGACCTGTTAGAAAGCACTTTATTTTTTATATATTAAATATTTATGTGTGTACCTGGTTAGTATGTATAGTACATATACACAGACACCATATGCAGCGTCCTCTTTGAAGATGACCAGTGATGATGTTTGTAGCTGTTTTTGGCTATTCCCTCTGGCCCTTTCCCCGTTGCTGCTGATTTGCCACAGTGTCCAGCTTTCACTTGCCTCCTGGTAGAGCCTCATTGCGCTTGGTCCTCACCTCTTCTGCACTCACTTGATTTGGAAGGATAATTAACTCACCCTTACCGGTGCTTTTGGCTGTTAAACACTGATCTATAGGAAGCCCTCTCCCTCTTTAACAGTTGACACTTTCAGAGAGTGGGGAGAATATTACTATAACCCTTATTAACTAAGACTGTTATATCTGAGCACTTCTGGTATGTTGTTGAACCATACTAAACTGTTTTTTATCTGTTAGAAGGAGGTACTGATGGCAGTTTCATTTTGCTAGACTCCAGTAGCTCTCACTTTTTCTCATCTCATATCCCTGTTAAACTATAGTTTTTTCCTCTTTTAACTCCATTCTGCATTGAACAAACAAAACACAAAGACATACCTTTAGTGGCCATGCATTGTTCTCTATAATTCATGCAAGCCCCTGTTCTTAGCCTTCCCTTCTCTGGCTCTTTGGGCCCAGAAGCACAGTGCTCTCTGTCTCCACCCCCGTGAGCCCTCCTCAACCTCACGTTAGGAGCCCCGGTACTGGGGATTGCTAGAGTCTTTACAATGAGACCCGGAGCCCATCACAAAGTTCTCTACTCTTTCTTGCCTTCAACACCATGTTCTTCATCGCAGTCTTTGACATGTGCATATGCGTGATTGAATGGACTAGGGTGTTAATGACAGCAGCTTCCTTGGCATGACTTAAAATATGGCTAACTGGGTGCTGGTTAATCTAAACAGTCTTATTAAGCAGTGTTGCTCCCCAAGTGGTCTCTTTTTAATCAGATACTCTTCCCCTTAACATCTGTAGGTGAATAGTATTTAGTCAGTTGCTCACGTACTTGGTAAAATCCCTATAAAGTAGAATATCTCTTTACCTCTTCTCTTCCATTGCCAGCACCCTCCTGCAAGAGGAAAACAACACCAACAGGCAAGCACAGTAATTAAGAAAGTAAACTCCAGGGTAGATAGGTTTACATTGTTATATCTAAAATGTAAGTGTTTGGTTCCAAGAAAAAGTGATGGAATTTGTACTTTACCATAGTGATTTGGGTCAGGATAGTGCTAAGTTTTGGCTGGCCAGGTAATTTCTTCCTTTTGCCATATCCCATTGATTAGTAGTAGCACTCACTGCCAGAGGCCCTAACGGCAAGAAAAGAGGATGTTGTTTTGTGAAGTTTTCTTAGCTCATCTGTGAGTTCATCTAGAAGCGGTGAAATCTCCTCTCTACCACCTGATATATGAGAGAATAATCTGGCCATTCTGGGAAAATAATGAAGACATCCTACTTCTTACTCAAAAGTTTCAATATCAGTTGAAACTAAACCTGTCATCCTTTTATAAAAACTGGACCAGAGGCCTGCCTCATCAGTTCTGAACTGGCTGCTTTTGTTCACCTATGGAACCAAGTGCTGGGTTCAGAAGCTATAATTAGCTACTGATTTTGTTTTGGAATTGAGTAGAATGAAGGAGAGAAAATATTTAGGATACCTCTAACCACTATTTTTGTGCAAATAGTATAAAAGTGAAAAATTTCTACGGTTATCTGGGTTTGGAGTGTATATAATTAATACACTTTTGTCCTTTGCAGGGAAAGCAATACTACCACTTCTTTTAATAGTTGGGAAAAGAAAATTGGGTCATTTTGCCATACCATTTAACTGGAAAGGATGCTTAAAAGCATCCTACATTACTAGTATCAGGACCAGTGTGTTTATTCTCCTTTCACAGCCAGTGTCCCTGTTCAACATATACAATCCCCACAGATAACTGTTTCAGAAATACAGGTATTTCTCTAGAGAGGGGCCAGCTTTATTTTCTCCTGTTTCTTTTCTAGGATTTCTAGAGAAAATGCTACTTACACATGTTGGTTCCTAAAATCTTTAACCAGAAGAGTTTGGGGGCATACCAACAACACATGGATAGACAGACTGTAGCTATTCAAAGGTCTCCTGGGGGAGCTTAAAACTTGGAGGAAAATACTGGTTTTCACAGATGCTCCACATGGCTGTCTTTAAAAGACTCAAAACTTTTTTTTGTCCTCTTTGTTATGCTTGGAAACCCCACAGTGTGTCGAGTCTTTACAAAGAAACCTTTAGATGTGGTTCATAGGTATATGAATAAGTATCTGTGTAAAACAGTGAGCGTGCAGTGTGTAAATACTTTAAATTATTATGCTAGAAAAATAAAGTTACATACCATGCTGTGGAATGTTTGTTCTGTGATTATAGTGACACCTGCTGGAAGAGCTGAGAAACAGGAGCAGAAGAAAACAAGTGAGGATGTCTGTGCAAAATCCTTTATGATATTGACAATAAGTCATACCACCTAACAACAAACTCACTTATTTTCTAAAGTATATCACTACTGTAGTTTTTAATTTTTTTAAAATTATAAGCAATTGCAAATAAATAAGTACCTTTGAGACTGGTCCACTGGTGTTATCCCAAAGGTCTTGTCTTTAGTAACAGTTTTGGTCCCTCACAGATGTGGGACCTGCGCTTTGGTTCTTTTAAGGCAGCATGTCCTGAACAACTTACTCCTGGTGGGGAAGATCTTAGGGGCAGGATTTTCTGGCTTTGAAACTTGTATAAATCCCTGCTGCTTTGGTGTTCTGAAAAGAAACATAACAGGATTACAAATTGGTATTTGTTTAAGAAACATGCCAAAAGATCAAGAAGCTCAAAAAAGAATTAAACCCAAAATGAAGGCACAGGAAAGCACTGTCACTGTTACTAGATAGAATACTATATGAAGCAAATTTCGATTGAAGGAAACATACATGTAAGCATTTCTTAAATAGAAAGCTTAAACATTACACTTAGTGTTTGTGGATAGCAGCTCAGAACAAATAAAACAGGAAAATTATGTCAGCTGAACCACATAAAGATGACAGTGATACAGCCACTGAGTACCTAGTACATATGCCTGTACTGAGTGAACACTAAGAAATAGTCTACATCACAATGAAATCTATGATTAAAAGGCAAAAATTCTCTTTTACCATATGCTATGTTTAGATCTCCAGCTTTTCAAAGATTGAAACTTGAGCAACTGTCCAAAAACCTAAAAGGAGGAGGTATTTACAGCATTCTGCTGCCTGGAGTCAGCTGTAATAACACAATGTTCGATTACTTTAGTCCTTTCTGAGCAAAGGTACCTTGCTACAGTTTTCCCCCATTCCCTTAAATATCTATTTGTATATCAACCAAGGAACACCACTCCCACAGAGAAAGTAATCAAGACATTGGAAATAAAGAAAGCAGTTCACAGCTATTATTTCATTGTCTAGCTCACCATATTGTTCCTGCTTATATCCATTTTCTCTGTGTCTTCCAAATGGACAAGTCATACTTGTACCATTATTATTTAGATTCGATTTTCCTTCGAATTTACTGCTCTTCCCCCTAAGTACCTCTTATAAGCAAGATGATTGACACTATCAACTAAATAATAGCATAAACAGTCCCTTAGACCCAACATGTGATGTCCCTTAGACCCAACATGTGATGTGCTTGGAGTGGGAATGCCTTTGTGTCTCCTCCCTCTCATGCAGATTTACAAGGAGATGGGGGTGGGGGGAGGGCATCCAGTGCCCAGGAGGATACACTCAGATCCTTCAGAGATGGGATGTACACCCTTGGCCTCATTAGAATGATGTTCAAACCATCTGAATAAACCAGTCCTGTCAACTAGAATATATTAAAGTCAGTCCAAACTCCAGCAAGAAGAAGGCAACAGGGCAATGTTTTCTGAGAGTTCTTCATGGGTGACAGTTCCATGACCTATTTTTTTATTTCAATAATGAAAACTCCAATTCCAGAAGAAGAAAAAAAAGCAAGCATTCTGCTACCTAATTAAATATACAAGGTCAAACACACATGAATTAACCTAGTAGGAAATTCACCTGCCATAAAAGACATTTAAAAAAACCAGTATTATCTCAATCAATAATGTAGCACCGCCAAAGGAAAGTGGTGCTTTGGATGGTGCAAAGGGTTCCAAAGCCGCCTCGCAGGAAGCAGTGAGGGAGAACATGAGGGGGACAATAAATTTATTTTCTAGTGAGACCTTCTTTTGAGCTGCCAAACAGCAATGCCACTAATGCATCGTTGGCCATCAGTGCAGTGAGGGCTGTGGGGAGAGCTATTGATTGGCTTGCTCTAAGTACAAGAGAAGGATTCTGGGCTGGAGTCGCCACAAGAGTTCATATTTCTTCTTGGGAGAAAAAAGAAAAGATTAGTGAAACAACTTGGGACAGCACAAAATATCAGATTCTCAGCATCCTGTCATGTTGGATATTTGGGTGATATTTAGAGGTTAGGAAAGAAAAGTGTATTTGGGGAGCTTGGAGCAAGGGTAACAACAGGACAGGAAGAGCTCACAAACTGGAATGACAAATATTAAGTGCATACTGATTACGTTTGGGGCCACATGACCATTATTAAGAGTTCGTTAGTGTGTAAGTATTTATACTACCTTACAGGAGGCAGCACAGCATAGGGGTCAAGATGCTGAATCAAAATCCACCCACTTTCCTAGTTGTGCAGACTGAGACATGCCAAACCATATCCTCATCTTTAAAATGGAGATCCTACTAGAACTTCAAACCTCCAACATTCATTCATTGTTGAGAATTAATGTATTAAGTATCACATCTAAAGTTCTTAGACAGCACCTAGTACAGACTAAGCACTCAATATACAATCCTCAAAAAATGTACCTGAAATGGAAAAATGTATGTTTACTTTTGGGAACTGGAAAATCTTTGAGCTATTCTTAGAACTAAATTTGCATTTATGCCCCTGTGGATATTCCAGAATTTCAGGTTGGGTCAAAGTTCTGTAGCACTTGAGTTCAGACATATCCATGAGGATGATGCACTCTGTCCATGGCTCCTAGGAAAATGGGTAAGACCGAATGCAAAACTGGTGCACATCCGGTACCTCCTAATGCTTCCTCACTGCAATCACCCCCAAAATCTCAGAATAAATTCTTTAAAGTCTCCTACAAAGAGAATAATCCTGATTTGTGAGCGACCATTTGCCCTGGACAGAACTTCAGGAATTCTGGGTGACCTAGGAACAGGAAGAACTCTGAAGAAAAGCTGCTATCAGTGAAATTATTGCTAGGGATTTCCGGTCATGTATTACACACTTTAGCAAGCAGGAGTCCCAATGGAGAGAGTAACCAACTTTGTGAAAGGACATTCTGAAATGTCTTTATAGATTGGATTGCATATAGAAGGTTTGAAAACACAGCCCCCAGTACTCACATCGCAACCTTAACTTTTATCCATAGATCCCTTCTAGTTGTTCAGACTAGGCCAGATATAGTGTTCCTATTCTCTCAGAACTGCTTGTAATAGAAAAGGGAGAAAGAAAAGAGGAGAGGCCTACTGTGGCAGCTGATAGACTTAAACTTGCTTAACCGAGCAAAATACTTCTGCTCTCTGACCTTAGGATTTTTTCAGATGTAAGAAGTGACAGGAAAGGAATCATGAGAAATTGTCACAGACAATAAAAAAGCAGTATGGACAGTTAATGAAAAGTTAATGAAAAGATGTTGAAGAAAACTACAAAAATAATATAAATGGGAAGGAGAAAGAGAAGAGTAAATCATGAAGGTAGAATGTTTGAGAAAAGAGAAACAGAACCAGTAGTCTATACATATATTCTATTGGGAAGGATATATATATTCTACCTCCATAACCCCACAAGCCAGAGCTTGTAACAAGACTTGTTACAGGCCGCTAATTTAAGCCCCAGAATCTGAAGGCCTGAGAACCAGGAGCTATCTGAGGTCAGAAGAGGATGAATGTGCCAGCTTAAGAAGAGAGAATTTGTCCTTTCACTGCCTTTTGTTCCATTCATGCCAACGATGGATTAGATGAGGCCCGCCCACATTGGTGAGGGCAGATCTCTTTACTCAGTCTGCTGAATCAAATGCTAATCTTTTCCAGAAACACTCTCACAGACACACCTGAAAATAATGTTTTACCAGCTATCTGGGCATCCCTTTGCCCAGTCAAGCTGACACATAAAATTAACCATTACATTCTTTTTATATATTCACTTTTAAAAAATTTATTATACATTCCTCAGCTATTGAAGGGATAATAATTGGTCAAGACTTTTTTATTTCATCAAAACCAAATTGAACTACCTCAAACACAAAGAGGGAAAGGAAAGATTGGTTGAAAGGTTATAGAGGTATCTCATGGAACCCAAGGGCTGGAGCCAGGCCCACAGACTGGAAACAGAGTCTGGCAAGTGATTAAGAGTCTCATCTCTGCTTCTGGCTGTACAAGCACTTTTCTCTCTCTCACTCTGCAGACTGATCTATCACCCAGGTACTCTTGCTGGAACATGGCCACCTCACAGAGTCGTGGTTCCATGCACCTATAGAGTTCAAATTCCTGGTGGGGGCAGGGGCAGCCCTTTGGCCGGGCTTAAGCCTGGTAGGTGAGCATAACGCAGAACCGGCAGCGGGCACCTTCCTCGCTCCATCGTGGGCCTTCGTGAGATTTTAGTGCTTTGGAAGTCTGGGGTGTTGGTGTCGCAGCCCACTTTGTTCAGGCTCTAGAGGCCAACCATGCTCACCTGACCTAAAGCAATAGCCCCTCCCTCACTTTCTACCCCCAAACCCTGCTCTATTTGTTTCTTCATTATCTTACAACATAGTGCATTTCATGTTTATGTATTTATTGCCTGTCTCCCCTGCTAAGATGTAGACTCCATGAGGGCAGAGACATCATTGTTGTTGCTTTCTATTTACCATCCTGTCTTTGGAGAAGGCAATGGTGCCCACTGTGTATAAATAGAGTATTTGTGGAAGAGAAAGGAAGAGAGGGAAGGAGGAAGAAAGGGAGGGAGACAAGCTGAAATTCAACTTAGTGATAGTAAAACAAAGACTGAAACTAGAAGAAACAAAGAATGGGGGAGATAAGGATAAGCTGACTGATGTGATTTTTATAATCAGGGTAACCACTTTTTCTGATACATCTATCAGCACTATCAAGATGGAGGCTGTGTGAAAGAGAACGAATTGATTCTAGAACTAGACTGATCCTGCCTCCAACAGAGGAGAAGCAAGGGGGTCTAATATTTATTGGTCATCTATTCTGTCCTAGACACAATGCAGGCACATTGCAAATTCTATGAGATTTGAGGAAATTGAGCAGAGAGGGTGAGTAATTAGACTGTGAT